TGACAGCAACAAATTCATACTTGTCGATAATTACACTGCCAAAAGAGTAAAAAGAGAACCTACAGAGTGGGAAAAAATATTTGGCAACGACATATCTGACAAGGGACTTACCTCTAAAATTTATAGAAAACTCCAACACCTCAACAACTAAAAGATTTACAATCCAATTCAAAAATGGCCAGAAGACATGAAGAGACACTTCACCAAAGAGGATATTCAGGCGGCCAGCAAACACATGAAGAAATGCTCACAATCATTATCCGCAAATCAAAACAACAGTGAGATAGCATCTGGCTCCAGCACTAATGGCAAAGTTCAACAAGACAGAAAATAACAAATGCTGGTGAGCATGTGGAGAGATTGGGACTCTCATACACTGCTGTGGAAAGCAGTATGGCAATTCCTTCAAAAGCTGGAATTAGAAATACCATTGACCCAGCAATTTCATTCTTTAGGATATGTATCCTAAAGAAGTGAGAACCAGGACAAGAACAGATATATGCACACCTATGTTCATCGCAGAACTATTTACAATAGCAAAAAGATGGATACAACCTAGGTGCCCATCAACAGAACAATGGATAACCAAACTATGGTACATGCACACGATGGAATACTATGCAACACTAAAGAATAACGTAGAATGTGCAAAACACTGCATAGCATGGATGAACTTGGAGGACATTATGCTGAGTGAAATAAATCAATCACAGAAGGACAAATATAGTATTAGTTAATTATTGTAAAAAGTCAAGGAAAAGTTTATATATGGAAGGAAACTTTCTTTGTTGGTTGGGAGGGAACACTGCAAAAAAAAAAATGCATTGACCCATGTCACTTAAGTTGTGTGTATTTCACTGTAGATAAATTATGTTTCAATAAAATGTATTTTAAAAGGAAAATAAGGAATCACAAAAAATACATTTGAAAATTATTTTTAAAATAACTAGATGGATATATATATATGCTTGTTAAAATAAGGAGAAAACATAATGGATGGTGTGATGTGAAGGTTTATCAAAATAAAATAAACCGAATATTAGACACTTCTTAAGGAAGAATTAATGATTTTAGGAGTTATGGACAGTAGAATGAAAAAGTTTAAATACATAATTAGAGTCTCAGAAGGAGAGAATAAAGAGAATGTAAAAGCGGGAAATATTTGACATGATAATAGCTGAGACTTTTCCAGATTTGATGAAAGTCCCAAATCCACAGATAAAGAAGAGCAGTGATTCTAAAGAATGATAAATAAAGTTAAATCTATAACTATAAACACTTGTGAATACCAATGGCAAAAAGAAAATCTTAAAAGCAGGCAGAGAGAAAACACAGATTTCTACAAAGAGACAGCAAGTAGACAAATATCACACTTGTCAACAGAAGCAATGGAAGTCAATAGCCAGTGGAATCATATATATATATATAATATATTGAAAGTAAAATTTAGAAAAATGCAAACACTAACAAAAAGGAAGCTTAAATAGCTATGTTAATGTCAGAAAAAGTGAACTTTAAGGAAATACACATTACTAGCTGGCACAGTGCCTAAGGCATTTGTCTGTTAACCAGAAGGTTGGTGGTTCAAACCTACCAGCTGCTCCATGGAAGGAAGATGGGGCAATCTACTTCCATAAAGATTTACCACCTTGGAAACCCACTGGGGTTGCTATGAGTTGGAATCAGCTTGATGGCAGTGGGCTTGGTTTTGGTTAGAAATAAAAAGGGATACCTCATAATGATGAAGCATTCATTTTGCCAACCGAATCCATTCTAATAATGCAACCTTAAATATATATATATATATATATATATATATATAGCTTTAAAAATACATAAAACAAGAAATGACAGAACAAGTAGTAGAAAAATCCACCATCATAGTGGAAGAGTATAATACTCCTCTCTTAGGAACTGAAAGAAAAAAAAAAAGACACACACACACAAAAAAAAAAGATACAGAAGATTTTAACAATAAACTTGACATAAACAACATATAGTTGCAGTAATTATGTTCTATAAAGATTCTGTGAAGTCTGAATTAGAACCAGCCTTGTTTGACCTCAGCTGCAGTGTGCGCACTGGGCAACTCAAATTTTTCACTGCTCTGCACATGTGTATGTTTGCAAATGACCATGACAATGCTACAATTATTGGTTTTGGTGTTACAAACAAATTTTAGGAGGTAGGTGAATTTGCAGATACAGAATCCATGAATAATAAGGATTGATTGTGTATATTACTCTGCACCCAACATTACAGAATACACATCCTTGTAAATTTATAAGATGGAACATTTACAATAATTGATCATAAACTGAAACATAAAGCAAATCTCAACAAATTATGAAGGATTGGCAACTAGTGTATCTTCTCTGACCACAGTGAATTTAACTACAAACCAATAATAAACAGATAGCCAGGAAGTCCCTTTGGGCTTGGAAATGAAAAAAAAAAATACACTTCTGAATAATCCTTGGGTAAAAGGAGAAATCACAGTGAAAATTAGAATGCTAAAGCTGAGTAATAATGAATAGAACACACTGAAACTTACAGGATGGAAACTGATAACCTTAAATATATATATATGTACATTTTAAAAGATGAAACTGTGATCAACAAAGTAAGAAAGAA